GCTGAAAACATTGGGTGCTTCTGAATCCAAAGCAGTCAGAGCGTTCTGGGACACCAAATATCAAGACTTTCAATTATTGAAAGTCTTGTCTAGGAAGTGTCTTTAATTGTTGGAAAATTATTAAACTGTGAGAAGGAGGGGGCAAGTACAGAGAATAATCGGTGCGGGAGTCAAGAGTGGCAGAATGTCTGACACTGGGGATATTTAAAGCTATGTGTGTTGTATGACAGAATTTGTGAGCATCTATGCCTGTAAAATGACTGACTGCAATATCTACAGTACAGCACACTGTCCTGGCTATGGTGCCAAGAGCCCCCTAGCACTGTTTAACAGTAAATTGTCAAACAGATTGAGAACACTTACCTCCCACGATCAGGCACTCTGTCTACTATGAGTCTGAGTTGCCATGCTAAAGTGGTAGCTCATGCTTCCATATTATCATGCCAACAGTTGGGACATTATTCACTGGCTGACAGTTTACAGTCTGACATCATCAGGGGTTCTCCTGGCACCATAACTACTACCGAGCTCTGTAGTGCTTACAGCAGGCCTCCCCAAACTCCGGCCCTCCAGATGTTGCTGAACTACAACTCCCATGATTCTCAGCCTATTTCATTCATAGAATCGTGGGAGTTGTAGTTCAGCAACATCTGGAGGGCCGGCGTTTGGGGAAGCCTGGCTTACAGTATCATTTTAGGTGGATTAAAAAAAAAATGTGAGTGATGGGCCAAAAAAAGAAAAATCCTTGTACTGGGGCCTTTTGTTTATTAGACCCACCAATGCCTTAGAACAAATATAGCTCAGTATAATGTGCTTTAACCCCTTAAGGACACATGACATGTGTGACATGTTATGATTCCCTTTTATTCCAGAAGTTTGGTCCTTAAGGGGTTAAAGGGCTTTCTTAGCTTTTAGTTGATTAGCTACCAGACTTCTCGCACTAATGTTATTGCAAGTAATTGGTACCACATTGAAGGAAATAAAGCAGTAATTGATTGAGCTCCCTTGGCAAAGATTTGCAAGGACAAGCAATGTGATCTGTTGCTGTAAATACGTTAATATGTGTTAATTTAGAGGATTTCGTTGCAATGTCTTTGCTACTGTATCATGTTAGTCTGCAGGACAGTAAAAGGAGAGTCTTTCGATCAGTCAGTAAATTTACTGCAGTACAGCCTTGCACCAACATAACATCAGCAGCACCAACATAATATGTGTATACAACAATCAAACCCAGGGCCCCATGCTGGCTATATGGACCCGTTATGACAAGTTGGGTTATTCAATTAATTGTGGAGAATTGATTAGTATATTGTAGAACAGAATTCCATGTCAGCCATATTGGCCATAGAATGTCAATTCTCCCTTGTCAATTCTCCTCAAGGTCTTGTTTAGTAAATAACTATAAACATGTAATACTATCTGTACAACTCTATTACCTCTTCACTGAACAGGGGAAAAAATAAACACTACAGAAGAGTCATTAATGGATATGTATTTTTATATTTTCACATGCTAATGATCTTAAATGTAATATGCATCCAGTTCAAATCTGTAAACAAAAACAGACATATAAACAACATGAGTATTTAAATGGTGCTTAATGAGATGGGAATTACTGACCACATCTGACTATATTTGCATCTACAAATTCAAAATGCCATGGAAACTGACTCTTCGGTGGCCACAGGCACATACACGGTCATCGTGGGTTTGTTTGTTCCCATGTGTGCAGTGTGTGAATTGTTTACAACACAAGATGGTCCAAAATAATTAAGCAGGTTGTTCATACATCACATGTAACACACCAGATACTGCAATAATATAATGCAACTGGCACAACTTCACAATGACTGGAGCCTTAATAAAAATTAGTTTTGGTTATTACCTTCAAAAAGATGACCAATATAAAACTACCCAAAAATCTGCAGGAGGGACTAAACACTGGCCAGGTTTCAATTTTCCAGAACAGGTTCATACTATCTGATACAAGAGTGTTTACACTGGACACAATTATCAGTGTCATTATAGAACATAATAAAATGTCCATGGAAAAATAAAATGACTGTCTAATCCTAGGTAAGTGTTTTATTCCTCTATAAGCAAACAGAAAACAATGTCACTGGTAAGATCTGAAACACAACAGACAATGATCTGGCCCTTGTTATGTAATGAGGACATTTCAGCCTTGCTTCTATTTATTGTAAACTAACATTTCAGCTGATGGTATACCTGAGACCCCATCCTAAACAGAAACTAGGGATTGGAGTGCGACCAGTGAGCAGTAGACGATTTCTAGACATTTATCTTAATTACCTCTCTCAAGGTCAAACTTCCTATTTATTACATCCCCCCCTGTAAAGCCTCCCCCTGCACTGTGCCCAACTTTTTTTCACAGCCCTGATAGGAAAAGGAATGTCCCAGCTGCACAGATTGACATGATACATCAGCAACTAATTAAATACATTGTAACCTCAGGGGATATTGGACAAGGCAATGCAAAGAGAAGCAGGCTAGGTCATTGGGATAGGGGTTATAATTACCTTTTCAGAAATCTCTTTTTATAGATCGAAAAGAGTAATGACCTATCAATGCTCTGTGTTCTTCCTTAGCGTTTGGCAGCGATATACCGATGGCCAAGAGCACTTTGACAGCTAGGAGGCGAGTGCGCACGCGCACGCACACGCAGAGGGTTCTGGGAGTTGTAGTTTCCCCAAACCCAGACGCATGATGGCTCTGTGTGTGCGTTCAAGGACTGCAGTGCTGACCCTGCCTACTGCATACCAGCTGACAGCCTGACTGCACAACAACACAGGGTTCCTGCTGCTGGGGGCTGAGGGTTTTATGCACTTCTTTCCATTCCCATGTATCAATCTACAATATACAATGTGGGGCACCCTGGTAGGGGGTGTTTATTGTATTGATGTTAACAGCTATATCTGATCATTTGTTCTAATTGCACATTGCACCATAGTAGATTCGTACTATGCATTATATTGTGGGGTGTTTTTTGGTGCCTCGATTTGCTAGGTTTGTAACATAAACCAGACCCAAATTGTACACATTTAGGAGGAGTAGCCTTTGTAGGATATGTCCATCGTGTCTCCCAGATAAAAAACATAGAAGAGTCTGCAAATCCCAGGTCAGCTCATAAACATTTAGTAATATTGCTCCAATTATAGACTGCAAAGCCAAACAAGCGTAAATGGCACAGTAAGTATAAATTCAGTAATGTCACTTTAAAGATATTGTGTACTGTATTGAGTGGAATTGATTAATTATGTGTCTGTTAATCCACCCATTGCACAGCGCTACGGAATTTGCTGGCACTATATAAAAAATAAAATAATAATTGACGGATTAGAATAGTGTAATTTGGATTGGATCTATTCAAAGCCTTTATAAGTCCTCTGCTCTGATTTATACCCAGCGCTCAACATCCTGAATTCTCAAGGAGAGAACACTGGAGCTATTCCATTCTTATGTAATGACTTTTCACCTTCTATCGGATTTTCCCGATCTGCATTCTGCTTTAACCCCTTAAGGACCAAACTTCTGGAATAAAAGGGAATCATAACATGTCAGACATGTCACGTGTCGTTAAGGGGTTAAAGTAACATGCCACACACCAAAAGCACTTTAGACTTTGTAAGTTTAACAGTCGTCACAGAAAACAAAATTGCTACACAAAAGTATATATTTAAATAAAGAAGACATCACAGGCTATTTATTTAAGGGTATTTTGACACTTTTTACATAGCCATTTTCCCACCAATCTCTGCTACATATTGTAGTAAAATTGTGTTTTTTCTGTTTTTTGAAATACATGCATATAACAAGGTTTTTTTAAATGTGTATTTTGTAAAGCTGCTGTGTACTATTCCTGGTCAAAATCCCATTTTGTGTTCAGCTACATCTGCTGAGTACAACAATACCCCCATTGTATGCCTTTGCCACTATTTTGGGAAGCTACAATGACATAGAAAAGGCCAGACTATTTCAGTTTCTACAGTTAGAAAATTCAAAGATGGATGTAATGGACCTATGTCTTATTTTGGGGCATTATAGTAGTTTGGTTGTTCAAATGACCACACAAAGGCCTTCCATTTGTGAAAGTAGACACTCCATGGTATCTCATATGGCATATATTTTGCCTTAACATGTCGCCATTTATTCACCATTATATGTAACAATTTGTGTTAAAAAAATATTTTTCACATTTTTTACTTAAGCATTACATTTGTGCTAAGCATTTTGTATATTTGATATGTTCCACTATGCTCAAACACCCCTAATTATGCTCAGCTAAGTCTTCTGAGTAAAACAATACCCCCAGTGTATGTCTTTGACACTATTTCGTGACGCTACAGTGCCATAAAAGAGACCTGACCATTTTAGTTTTTAGAGTAGAATTTTGAGAGATGGATTTGCAGGGCTTATGTTTCAATTTGGGCCATTATAGCAGTTTGGCTGTTTCAATAACCCCAAAAAGGCCTACCATTTGTGAAAGTAGACACTCCAGGGTATCTCATATGGCATATATTGTGCCTTAACATGTCGCCATTTTTTCACCATTATATGTCAAAGTTTGTGGTAAAAAAAATATTTTTCACATTTTTAAGTTATGCGTTACATTTGTGCTGGGCATTTTGTATATTTGATATGTTCCAATATGATCAAACAACCCAAATTATGCTGAGCTATCTCCTGTGAATAAAACGATACCCCCAATGTATGCCTTTGGCGATATTTCCTGAAGCTACACTGCCATATAGGAGACCTGACCATTTCAGTTTTTACAGAATTTTATATGTTTATGACTCATTTTGGGGTCTAATAGCAGGTTGCTTATTCAAACTTCCCCCACAAAGGCCTACCATTTTTTAAAGAAGACACCCCAGGGTATTTCAAAAGGCCCATTTTGAACCTTAGGGTGGGATCATTTTTTCGCTAGTGAGTACGAAGTCTAGTAGTAAGCATTTTCTCTGCCTTTTTGACACACACTTTGAGATTTTACTGCATAGTTTACAATGCTTAGGTGTGCTACGGCAGTATAACGCTTCATATGTCACTCAGCTATGTCGTCTGAGTACAGCAATACCCCCGTATGTACCTTTCCCAGGTATATGTGGATGTTGAAGGGGCAAATTTGAGACTCGGTTTGTTTCAAGCTTTGAATTTCATGCTGGGTCCATGTCCCATTTTGGGTCAAACTCTGAGGCACTGTCTGTCACCTCTGAATCCGAATAAGCATTTTGAACTTTTTACACAAGAACTTTAAAAAAACAATGTTATAATAATGGTATTTTATTTTTTGTGGATTTTTTTAATTTGTATTTTTACCCCTAGCATTCGCACTAAGCTCCCTAATTTTCCAGGAACTATCATCCACCCCAATTAACTAAATAAAAGTAAAAAAATAAATATAAATATATATATATATATATATATATATATATATATATATATATATATATATATATATATATAGTGTCAGTGGTCAAATGACAGAAGAACTACAACAAGAATATTAATTGTATTGAGAATTTATTGGCCCTGAGTATGAAATCATTTAAAACAGTTCCCAATACAAAGGCCAGGCTGAGAGGGACAATCAGGGCAGTAGAAACTGGTCTCCGTTCGAATGCCTCTCTGGTAACACAGCCTGCACCTTTTCTGGGGGGTCTTTTTTTGGGGGGTTGGTGGTATCCGAAAGCAGGAGTGACCTGTCTGAATATCTCTGCTGCTAGGCCCTGCTGATGGGTCCCCACTGTGGCACTCAGTGAGCAGCACAGAAATTAGCTGAACCTGAAATGTAAGAAAAGTACATTTCAGCTGAGGATTTGCCTCTTTGAAAAGGATGCATTGTGAGTCACCATTTGCATTAAATAAATGCCCACTTTCTTATACCAGGCTCTGGTCTTTCTCATTATCAGATATGGCTGCAGCAGTTGATGGACAGGTCAACTCCCCCCATGTGTTTATTGAATTGCCTAATGCAGACAGGCAGCCGTCTTGTTTCCTGTCTGCCACGGACTGCGACCCTGCGTGTGTGTTCACTGTGCATGGTAGTCAGTATGAACACCTCCTTTTTGTCTCTATATTTCAGAGCCAGCAGTTCGTCCTGGCAGAGAGCAGCCGTTTCCCCCTTTTTAATTTTTTTTTCTCTGCCAGAGCCTTGGGGAAGCCAGTGCGTGTCTTGCGGATAGTGCCGCAGACCACAGTCTCAAAACAATATAGCATTTTTTGGAGGGGTATGCTATTGTATTAATTATCAAGGTAGAGGTGGTACCCCTTGTTCAGTAGCGGGTTCATTAGATCCCAAACTATTTTTCCGCTAGTCCCAACTACATCAGGGCAACCTGGGGGATCCTGGTGGCTATCTTTACCTTCATATCCTCTGAAGGTATAAACATACCCACTGCTACTTTCACATAACTTGTATAGCTTGATGCCATACCGGGATCTTTTGGCTGGGATGTATTGCTTGAACCCCAGTCTACCCTTGTATTTCATTAGGGACTCGTCAATACATATATTCTTTTGGGGAGTATATATTATGCCAAATTCTTTATTAAAATGGTTAATTAGGGGGCGGATTTTATAAAGTTTGTCTTACTGCGGATGATCTTTGGGGTGGCACTTCGAATTATCATTGAAGTGCAGAAAACGCAGTACTGATTCGTATCTGGGCCTACTCATGGTCTGAGAGAAAATGGGAGTATTGCATACTGGGTTTTTGGACCAGTACATTCGGATGCTGGGCTTTTTTATAATGCCCATTAGCATGGTTAGTGCCCAGAACTGTTTTAACTCTGGCACACTGGTAGGGTACCAGCTCCCTTTTGTGGCAAAGTGACTTGCTGCATTTTGTGCCAGATACTGCGCTGCATAAATATTTGTCTGTGTAACTATCTGCCCTAAAAAATCATCCCCAAGGAACAGCTCCATAAAATCCTGGGAGTTATAGCTGGTCACGTCTCCCTGAATACCAGGAGTCGCAGTGAACAGAGGGATGTCGGGGACAAAATTGTTAGGGGGCACCCAAATATCAGCACCAGGGGTATCGTCACCAGGGCCGGACTGGGAAAAAAATTAGGCCCGGGCATTTTTCAATCAGAGCGGCCCCCTAAGAAGGGGGCGGGGCCAGAGAGGGTGTGTTTTGTCATCACTAATGACAAGCACGCCTCCTCTCAAAGTGAGCATGTTGGTTCAATGCGCAGAGCTGCGCTGAAGAGCTCTGGCATTAGAAAAAGGCCCTGTATTTGTTCTGCGCAGCGCAAGCAAATTTAATAACATGCTTGCGCTGTGTTTGCTTTTAAATTGTCTCTGGTGTCTCAACAAGTGGGATACCAGAGGACAAAAGGGCCAGGAAAGTGTATGGTGCATGTGTTTGGAGCCTGCTTGTGGGATTGCGTGTGTGTAGAGTGTGGTGTGGTATTGTGTAAATAGGTCAATTTAATTTGTGTTTGTGGTATAATATGTGTGGCTAGGGGCTGTAGAGAGTGTGTGTATAGGGGGCATAGTGTTATAGGGGATGTAGCGAGTGTGTGCATACGGGCTGTAGTGTGTGTGTATAGGTGACGTAGTGTGTGTAAGGGTTGTAGAGAGGGTGTGTTTAGAGAATGTTGTATGTGTTTGCTGACAAGGAATGTAGTGTGTGTTTAGGTGGTGCAGTGTGTGTGTAGGAGATCTAGTGTGTAAAGGACCCAGAGTGTGTATAGGAGATTGTGTGTGTGTGTGTGTGTGTGTGTGTGTGTGTATAGAGGATTAAGAGTGCATATAAGGTAAGGGATCTAGCGTGTATCTGGAGCGTAATGTATGTAGTGCTGTAGTGTGTGTGTGTGTATGTGTATATATATATATATATACATACATATATATATTTGGACGTATTGTATGTGTGAGGGGCACAGTGTGTGTGTATGTAAGAGGGGTGCTGTGTGTGAGGGTGTTTTTATCTGCCGTCACATTCTAATTTTCTTTGTCTGTTAACTCACTGAGGGTTATTTTATATATTATATATATAAATATATATATATATATATATATCTGTAAATATATATATATATATATATATATATATATATATATATACACACACATATATATATGTGAGGGTGCTGTGTGCCTGAGTGCGCTGTGTGTGTCTGGGGGTGCTGTGTGTGTCTGGGGGTGCTGTGTGTGTCTGGGTGCTGTGTGTCTGTGGGTGCTGTGTGTCTGTGGGTGCTGTGTGTGTCTGTGGGTGCTGTGTGTGTCTGGGTGCTGTGTGTGTGTCTGGGGGTACTGTGTGTGTCTGGGGGTGATGTGTGTGTCTGGGGGTACTGTGTGTGTCTGGGGGTGCTGTGT